TGTCTCTGCTTTTTAAGATGCTGTCTAGGTTTGTCATCGCTTTCCTCCCTGGAAGCAGGCGACTTTCAATTTTGTGGCTGCTGTCACCATCTGCAGTGATCATGGCGCCCAAGAACCCACTTAGAATGTCTAATTAGAACCCCCCAAGTCCAAATGATAGCAATGAGCTCCCTACCTTCCATGGTGGGCAAAATCAGCCCATCTACTCAAGGTGATAAAAGGCACCCCGGTCCACAGTACAGCCAACAAGCAATTTAGGAGAAATGCTGGGTCCATCACTACAGCCAGACCCAGCAGGATTCTTCCAGTGCTTTGAGTGGTCGTCCAGAACAGGCACAATAACCTAGTCTACTGAGTTGAGTTGAAGAGATAACAGAAATTGTACATCAGCCTAAAGAACTATGCTTATTAGTTCATTGTTATTTTGAAACCAGTGGTTATGACGGCTGGGGGATTCTGGGCATTGTAGTCCAAAAAGGTAACTTGCCAAGGAAGCCAGAACTTTGGAAGGAACTTGCCCATTAAAGTAAACCTCTCTGTACAAATCAGCGTTGCAGTGTGGCAAGAGAAGAGGGCACCGAGCCTCCTTGTGCCGAACGCCACTATCCTGTGCCACGGCCGCACTTTGGCTTTTTTTCTCAGCCACTTCCTTTCTTCATGCTTGGTGTGGCTCCTGGCTTTTCCTGCCTCTAGGAAGCCTTCAGCGCAAGTCGTCAAGTCGCTGGGGCTTTCCCAAAAATGGGCTTCAGCATTGCATTTGATTATGCCACTTCCTTCGCCACTCCCTTTCCTGTTAAGTAATGCAACGCTAGCTTCCCTTCTCTCCTCTTCCTTCCTTTCTTTTCTTTCTTTTTTTTCTTCTGCCACACCTCAAGCCTTTGCTTTGGCCCTTGTCTATGAAACATAGCGCGCCAGGCCTGGAAGCAGGCGCCGGTGGGCTCAGAGGGACCTCCACAATGGCTAAACGGAACCCGGCCAGCCATGGAAAAGGTAGGGTCATTCTACAACCCTGCCTTATGGATGGCTTTTGCTTTAGAGACGAGTAGTAAGAGTCGTGTCATGCTGATTGGTCCGTAGGTTCTCTCTTCCTAGAAAAGGTCCAACCCATCTTTCTTAGGAACCTGAAGGTCACGCATCCGTCTTGCTATGACAGTTCCTTCAAGTTCAGACTACTTTGTAGTTCATAAGATTCTTTTTTTTTTATTAGTCACCTGCTTTCACTTCCTTTCTAACTGTCTCTCTGTTTTTGTGGCACCTCGGACGTCAAAAAGGGAAAATGACCCTACAGTGTGCTTCCCATTTAGGGACACTCTGTGGTCCTAGCAGGAGGGGGGTGTCTCATCTCAGAGAGCTGGACGGGAGGTACTGCTGCTTCAGGACCGCAAGCCACCTGTGTTTGATTATCAGAAGCTTGCTTGCCGGAAGCAATTTTTACTAGTCAAAGAGCAGAAGGCAAATGAGTGGTTACCACCTTGGTCTAAGTGTAGGTCTTCCAGAGCTGCATCCCTCAATCTCAATGTTTTTGAGTCCATGCCAAATAGGATCTCACCTTTCACATTGTCTGTCCTGTTGAAAATGAAAGCCTGGAAAATCTGTCTTTTGGTGGCTGGTCCATTTTTAAAAATAAAGATGTTTAGAGCAGGAGGGGAAGTGCTCAAAATTCCAGTGTTTATTGATATAAACTTTCGCGTTCTCAAAATTCTGCTCCCCCTGAATGCACTCTCTTACCTTCCCTTTGTCTATTGTTACTCTAGAGTCTTCTAGGTGTGATGTTTGGGGCTTACTGCGAACCCAGTCAAATGGGAAAGAAAAGTAGAATAAAAATGCCATTGCATTATATAGAATATCATTAAAATCACAGTGCCAAGGCATAGCTTTCCCTCTTCTCTGGTTTTCCCCTTACCAGTGCTTATGTTTCTCCACGTGTGTTGGCCAAAGGGACTGGCCATCCTTGAGTCGAGAGACTTACTGCACCCCGAAAGAAAACAATCATCCTTCTGCTTTCTTATGGAGCCCTGTGTGTAATGGGGTGCAGAACTTCCCTTCAATTTGCTGCTCTTCCGACCTCCCGCAAAAGGCCATATGAGATGGAGGTTTCAACCCATTTAGGTTCTAATCATGAGTTCTCAATGGCAGCCACAGTGTTCCCTCCTCTGCCATTTTGTATTGCAGAGTAGCTCCTTGGCAGGACTGAAAACAGGCAGAACGTGAGACTACAATTCCCAGAATCCCCCAAGCCAATAGAGCCATGCTATATAAAACATTGGGAAAGACCTTGATGTTGGGAAAGTGTGAAGGCAAGAGGAGAGAAGGGGACGACAGAGGACAAGATGGTTGGACAGGGTCATCGAAGCAACCAACATGAATTTGACCCAACTCCAGGAGGCAGTGGAAGACAGGAGGGCCTGGCGTGCTCTGGTCCATGGGGTCACGAAGAGTCGGACACAACTAGACGACAACGACGATATAAAACATTGTAGGAATTGTCATTCAAGAAAATAACTTTTACAAGAGCCACAATAAGTGACGAAAGGCCCAAACAGCATTTGTGTATCTTTAAAGTTTTCCCATAGTGTCTTTTTTTTAAATCATTTAAAAATAATGAATTAAACCAGAATACATGCAGAATATATTTTCATTTAAAAATAATGAATTAAACCAGAAAAAACAGAATACCTGCAGAATATATTCCAGTTGGTGAGTGATAGGAGCCCTTTATCCATAAATGCATAAGAAGCCATATGTAGTTAAGCAGGGTGTCTGCTAATTAAAAAACACAGTCCAGTGAAGTGCAAAGATTTTGATGTATTTATGGGCACCCTTCCAGACCCCTGTTTCATACCATGCATGACTGTCCCACAAGAAACTTATGTTTTAGGTTCACAGACACTTTCTACATAGACGTAGAGACAACCATGCCCAAAGATAGGAGATGTTTGGGTTTTGGACGATGACTCACAGAATACACTTCCCCCTTCAACAATGCAGGGGTTCCGGGTGCCAAACCCCCATATAGTTCAAAATCTGTGTATAACTCTTATGCCTCCCCCAGAAAAACCATCACTGCAAAGCTTAAACAGTCGATACACAGAGGGAGAGAGACCAGTTCTCTCCATAGGCTTTCTCTTCCATAGTGTTGACCATCCTTTCCATACAGTGTATAATGAGCCTTAAAAGTCCTTATAAACCCCCTAATCTAGAGGCTGATGTTGTGTTTGGAGGCCAGAAGACCACTTTGACGTTTGGGTGTTGAGCTCGTACCCCTGGTTCAGGGTGGCTGGAGACACCGTATTTTTTTTGAGTGTTTGGAGCCCAGAAGACCACTTTGACGTTTGGGTGTTGAGCTCATATCCCTGGTTTAGGGTGGCTAGAGACACCGTTTTTTGTTTTTTTTTTTGAATATTACCCCTGGTTCAGGGTGGCTGGAGACACCGTATTTTTTTTGAATATTTACCATATTTTTCGCACCATAAGACGCACTTTTTCCCCACAAAACAGGCGGGTGGAAAGTCTGTGCGTCTTATGGAGCGAAGAAAACAGATTATATTTTCCTGTTTTCTTCTCCTAAAAAATTGGTGCGTCTTATGGAGAGGTGCGTCTTATGCTGCAAAAATACAGTATTTATTGAACATTTGCTTGTTTAATAAATAAATAATTTATTTAATAAATCTGTGTAAAAACGAAAACTGTGCAGTTCAGATCCAGGCAGTTCAAGGGGGTAGTGTGATGTGGCCACAGCCAGCAGGCCCACTGGTCTCCCTTCACCGGGCAAAGCTTGTTTTGCCTTCTGCTCCTCGGATTGCCAGCCTATGTAGCCTCCCCGGTTCTCTCAGTAGCGTCAGATACGGCTGAGCCTGCATGACCGGTGAACGGGACCTCATTATGCGTCGTATACAGCTGTTTGATTCCCAGTAACAAAACAAGTCCGCTTTAAAGAAAATAAAGGTCCTATTTTATTGTCTTGAGAAATTTCCGCATTTTGAGATTGTTCCTCTTCAAGATTAACACACAGTATGTTCTTCCCCTTTTTAAAGGGCGTTTTGAGATAACTGCTGGTATTTTAGCTACCCAAAATGAACTTCCTTCTTTGCTGGGGTAGAGTCTCTGTGGATTTGCACACACAAGGCGGGCTAGTCTTTTGCAGCTTTCAAAACTGAAGAAAACTCACTAAGTATAGGTAGCAGTTTACCAAGTCCTTAGCGAACTTCGCTGTTTTTTGCCATCAGCCGGGAAGGCAGGAAATCTGGAGGATTTACCTGTCCTTTGGCAACTGGGCTTATGAGGGGCTGCGCCTGTTGCAGTGGAAATTTGAATATCTTTGGGGCAGAATGTGTTTTTCAAAGAGTGCATTGTTTGGGCAGCACAACACAAATGAATTGGCAGCAGTTGGTGGTTTTTTTTAAAATAGACCTTGAATTGCCCCAACTGTTGAGTGGGATTCGGGTTTGAAATGGAGGTCGTCTCTGCCTCAGAGCTAAATGACATATTTTAAGCAAATATGCATGAACAACACAAGCAATATTTTTGAACTAAGGAAGTAGGACAAGATGGAATTACTTTGCAAATTGCATGCAACATGCAGATTGCTTTGCGCAGAATCAGCCATTGGCAACAAGATGGATAACAATCAATGATTTTTTTTTAAAAAAAATAACATTGATTGAAATCATGATTTTAAAAAAATTAAATGTTTTTTTTTATTTAAATCATCCCCCCAAAAATCATTTTTTTTAAGATGCATGAACAACACAAGCAATATTTTTGAACTAAGGAAGTAGGACAAGATGGAATTACTTTGCAAATTGCATGCAACATGCAGATTGCTTTGCGCAGAATCAGCCATTGGCAACAAGATGGATAACAATCAATGATTTTTTTAAAAAAAATAACATTGAAATCATGATTTTAAAAAAATTAATTTTTTTTATTTAAATCATCCCCCCAAAAAATCAAATTTTTAAAATTTAAATTGTGGTTTAAAGCCACCCTGATCTTCATCTCTGGTTCATGGGGTCACGAAGAGTCAGACACGACTAAACGAGTAGACGAGAAGGCAAAAAAGGAGCACCAAAGAAGATGAATAAGAAAGGTGAATAAGAAAGAACAATTTATCATAGTATTATACAACATGAATTTGACCCAACTTGGGAGGCAGTGGAAGACAGGAGGGCCTGGCGTGCTCTGATCTGTGGGGTCATGAACAGTCGGACACGACTAAATGAGTAGACGAGACGGGCAAAAAAGGAGCACCAAAGAAGATGAATAAGAAAGGTGAATAAGAAAGAACAATTTATAAAGCCTTCTTTATGACTTCTTTATGGTCTCACTTCCATACATCACTACAGGAAAAACCATAGCTTTGAGTATTCAGACTTTTGTCGGCAAGGTGATGTCTCTACTTTTTAAGATGCTGTCGAGGTTTTCATCGCTTTCCTCCCAAGAAGCAGGCGTCTTTTAATTTCGTGGCTGCTGTCACTGCCTGCAGCGATCATGGAGCCCAAGAAAGTAAAATCTGTCCCTGCCTCCATATCTTCCCCTTCTATTTGCCAGGAGGTGATGGGACCAGTGGCCATGATCTTAGTAGTTTTGATGTTGAACTTCCAACCATTTTTGGTGATCTCCTCTTTCACACCCTCATTAAGAGGCTCTTTAATTCCTCCTCACTTTCTGCTGTCAGAGTAGTATCATCTGCATATCTGAGGTTGTTGATATTTCTTCCGGCAATCTTAATTCCGTTTTGGGATTCATCCAGTCCAGCCTTTTGCATGATGTATTCTGCATATAAGTTAAATAAGCAGGGAGACAATATACAGCCTTGTCATATTACTTTCCCTATTTTGAACCCATCAGTTGTTCCATATCCAGTTCTAACTGTCGCTTCCTGTCCCACATATAGGTTTCTCAGGAGATAGATAAGGTGGTCACCTGCAGATAACTCTGGATTGCCATTGTTTAGTTGACCCTTCCTTTTTTTTCCTCCTGTCTTGTAG